AGGGAGAATCTCCACCATAGCATACATTTCATACTGTATGTGCTAGAGATATGACCAATCAAGTGAGTGAGTGAATGGATCCCTACTTCATCACTGTGTGAGTACTTGATATCGTATATTGATTTACGAGTATACCCTTATGACTTTGACTATGCTACGAAGCGTAGAGTTGATGTTTGCTACTTTAGTGTGCTTCCTATGGTCACGAGTGATTCGATCTACTGGGGCATGTCTAGGAAAGCAGTCGACTCGAAACTAAGTAGTAGTAGGGTGAAAGGAAGGTAAAGTATTGTCATATCACTCATATGTGTTCACCGGCCGGCCAGTTATAATTTGTTGTGTACTTATCATAACTGGGAATACATATGGAGTAGTGGGAGTTAAGTATCGTCTTTATTTATTTTATTGAGGGGTCAAGAGATATTGGACTCGATGTGACAAAGTGAACCTAGGGTATAGAATACATCGTGTATTTATTTATTTATTTATTTTTCCCTGAGGTTGAATCTCCATTCTGGCCCTGTGTGGGTTTCTAGTTTGGAGCTCCCGCATGCAGGTGTATTCGGTGGTCACACGACCCATTTGCTAGTATGAACTCAGAACTGGTAAAAGTCATTACCTTTCACGGGTGAGTGGGAGATGACGGTTGAAACACCCGGTGAAAGGGTGTATGTGAGAAAAGACATAACCGTAGGATATAATCATTGTACCGGTTGTGTCTCTTGCATAAACACCGCTTGAATCCTATAAAAGTATAGGTTCTATATGACAAATGGAGATGCAGAAAACATCATAAAAGAAAACGTGAATCAGTTTTGGTGAGTAGCATTTGGGTTGTGAATCTGCGATTCCGACTCTGGTAGCCGGTTTCCGACCATTGTCCAGAGTATTTGAAGACTGTGATTTCAACCAAAGAAAAGATCGACTGAATCGGTACGCGACTATCCTTCCGTTTTCTTACACTCATGATCCTACCAAATCTCTTCAAAGGTGAGTGGCGGCTTTGCTCTCCTTAAGGCTCACACTAATCTTCGGTTAATTTCACAATATTTCGAAATTAATTAATTTGGTTTTTCCCAAAGCAAAACCTTTTAGGAGGACTAAGTATAAGGAAATTATTATAAAATTGTAATTATCGATTAATGTGCATCTCCTGACGGATTTGACTTTGGCTTGAAGTTGTCCGAATATTTTTAACGTTGAGACAAGTTGCTGATGTGGTCCTACCGCTCTCATAACTATCTTCCATATATGACCTTGTGATTTTCATCTAATTTTATCAACTCATCAATTCTCTCCCCTAAACACTTCAAATTTCATCCCATTTTCTCCAAATTTTAATAGAAAAATTTAGAAAGAAATCCGAATCCAAATATTGAGGGTGCAAAACGGGTTGGGTTTGTCCGGTCCAACCCGTTTTGATCCGATCTAGTTTGTTTTTAATCCAACGCTTTTAACGAGTCAGAAAAACTCTGAACTCGACCTACATCGTTTCAGTTGAGAAATCGAGACGCGAGTCGAATAAAAAAAATATTTAAAAATTAATAAAAAATGTATTAAAAATATTAAAAAAATAAAAAAATAAAAAAATAATATTTTAAAAAAAAAATTTGCTTCGCGGGCCAATTCATGGGCCAACCGAACTAGCCTATAGCAGGCTGACTCGTCGGGCCAATTTTTTCTGGTTTATATTTTTCCAATCCAATTCGGTAAAAACGAGTTGGTGCGCGAGGCAGACTCATTTCTCCATCCCTAGATAAATATAAATTGATTTGACAAGTAAATTTTTATAAAGAAAACATTTTTTATATATAAAAACAGGAAGATTTATTTGGCCGGAAAGATCATCAGCGACTTATGCCTCGGTCACCGGAAATCTAGACAAAAGAATAGAGCTTGACGAGAAGATGGAGATAGGAAGTGATAGTTACAAGGCAATGTTGTCTATTATGGCTTCCAAGTTATCTTATGAGAACCAAGACTTCGTCAAGTCTGTCCTTCACGACCATTGGAAGGTTCATTATTCTTCTTTTTTTTTCCTTCAAATATTTCCATATTTTTTATTATATTTTGGTTATTTATTTATTATAAGTCTTATCACAAAAAACAAATGGTATATTATCTTATTGATTAGTGGATAAGATAGTTATTAGTTTGGATAAAGAAAGAAAAGAAGAAGACCATGGAGAGAAAAAAAATACATTTTCTTGGATATTATTTGTAATTATATATATATACACACATAATTATACGTACATGAATATATTTATGATTATGAGTATCCTAAATTATTTTTTGTCACCATGGAAGGGATATATGGTTATATCATGATGGTCCATAATTCAGTTGCTTGTGATTATCAAGATGCGTGAACCTGCACGATTAGATTTAAGTAAAGAATCAATTAATTGACTAAATATTAATTACAATGAATTAAAATTAAAATAAAGATTAATTATGGGTTGGTCTTTCCAATGATTTCCTTTTGCAGATGGACTTCTTGGGTTTCTACAGCTGTTGGAATGGTAAAAGAATCTTCCACTTCCACATGTTTCGTTTTTTCTGAAAACACAAGTTGTTAAATATGATTAATATAAATTAATTAACTGACTAATTAATAAGAAAACACTTATAGTAATAAATTAAGTGGGCATGGAGGAAGATTTTATCAGCGGCTTCTCTGCATTTGGTTTAATTTTTTCACACTTGTTTTTTGTTTGTTAATAAACCTAATATTTTATAATGCATTTATTTGTATCTATCTAGTTATTTATATGTATGTATGTATGTATGTATGTATGTATAAATTAATTAACTGACTAATTAATAAGAAAACACTTATAGTAATAAATTAAGTGGGCATGGAGGAAGATTTTATCAGCGGCTTCTCTGCATTTGGTTTAATTTTTTCACACTTGTTTTTTGTTTGTTAATAAACCTAATATTTTATAATGCATTTATTTGTATCTATCTAGTTATTTATATGTATGTATGTATGTATGTATGTATGTATGTATGTATGTATGTATGTATGTATGTATGTATGTATGTATGTATGTATGTATGTATGTATGTATGTATGTACATGTACTTGGTTGAGATATATAAATATAAGTTGAAATCCGTATATCAAGGGGGAAGATAGTTGGAGAAAATTAAAATTAAATATTATATCTTATCTTGTAAATAAAGAATACATGTAATTCCATTGATTAAATGATTGTAAACAGTATACAATTAGATAATAACAAGAATTTATATAATAATAATAATAAAATTTAAATATTTTTTTTGGGGGAAGGTTATCAGAAATTAAAGTCGACAGAAGCCATAGTGCTGCAAGACACGAACACAGATCCAAACCTCATTGTCGTGAGTTTCAGAGGCACTGATCCTTTCGACGCCGATGATTGGTGCACCGACTTTGATCTCTCCTGGTATTTTTCCTCTTTCTTTATTGCACCCACATCTCTATATTATTATCGCATAATATAAAGTCTTCGTCTCTTTTTATTGCCTTGATTTACAAATATAATTGAATAGTGTATAACTATATTTAAACTTAATTTGATCTACAAATTAGCTCGATATAACTTTTAGAAAACTAAATTAATGAAATCCGATCAGAAATTAAATATGAAAATAATGATCAAATTTTTAAAAATGCATTTTTTAAAAACAGATGGATTTTGTAATGAATACCACGTGTAACCAAATACAATATAAAAATCAAATAGATATATTAAAATTAAAAAAAAAATCTAAATAAGATTAATCCGATCAAAATTGAATAAAACCCCCTAAATTTTTTAAAACAAATTTAAAAAAACCATCATTTGTCTAATTTACTAAATGATTTTTATAAAAAAAAAAATCAAAATAAAATTTTGATATCACATTTCATATACAGTTAGAAATTCAATCCATAAAATATATTTAATTTTAATTATAATATGTTTTATAGAAATTAATTGTATAAAAGGTGATGTATATAAATTACAAAATTCTAAGTATTACCATTAAAAAACTAAATATTTACTCAAATTCTAATTATTACAATAAAAAAAAACTATTTATTTGTAGAAAATCTAAGTAACATAATTTAATACATTTATAAAGTATTTAGTTTTTTTATTGTGATATTTAGAATTGTATAATTTATATTTATTTTTTTTCAAAATAATGATGTATTTTTTAATAATTTTGAAATTGAATGTTTAATTGATGGTTTTTTCTCAAAACTAATTGAGGAATCTTTTGTAAGTTAGATATTTCACGATTTATTTGTTTAAAATATTAGCTAGTAATCGATTGTTTTAATAATAAATTTAAAATATTTTAAAAAAAATGATATTTCTTTAGTTTATCCCAAATTTCTAAATTGGCTGATCCAAATTTATACAAAAGGTGGACAGAGAGAAGAATCTTGAAACTTTGGCGAGCTAGATAAGACCCCTAACTCCTACAGTCACCTAATCTTACTGTATTGAGGCCTGATTTGTTGTTTGATGTTTCTAGCTTCACACACACACATTTAGTTTGTATGTGTTTTCTCTCTCACATTACTAAAACTATGATTGTTTGTCACTGCAATTAGCATTTTATTTTATTTTTTCGGTTTCATTATTATACAAATCAATTTTTAAACCTAGTTATTAATAGAACAAAACTTGAAAAAATGATTTTAATTTTTTGGCATGTGCATCGATGTGTGTTTCCAACAGGTACGAACTGAAGAACGTGGGAAGGATCCATGGTGGGTTCATGAAAGCATTAGGCCTGCAGAAAGATGGATGGCCTAAGGAAATAAACCTAGACCAAACCCAAAACGGACCTCAATATTGCTACTACACCATCAGACAACATCTTAGAAACATTCTCGACAAAAACCCGACCTCGAGATTCATCCTGTCTGGCCACAGCCTCGGCGGGGCACTGGCGATTCTGTTCACGGGCTTGTTAGCGATGCACGAAGAGGAGAAAATGCTGAAGAGTCTCGAAGGCGTTTACACTTTCGGACAGCCGCGGGTTGGGGACGACCAGTTCGGGACGTTTATGAAGAATGTGTTAAAGAAGTACGATGTCAAGTACGAGAGATACGTATATTGCAATGACATGGTTCCTAGGTTACCTTTCGACGATAAGACACTCCTGTTCAAGCACTTCGGCCCTTGCCTTTACTTCGACAGTTTCTATAGAGGAAAGGTCAGTTAAAAAATACAAACTTACCACGATTTTGGGATACGAAACTCGGGGGTATGGACTGATGTAATATCTGATATTTGTCGCTCAGGTCGATGAAGAAGAACCGAACAAGAATTACTTCAACCTGTTTTGGGCGATACCGAAAGTGTTAAATGCGTTATGGGAGCTTACAAGGAGCTTCATCTTACCGCACTGGAAGGGTCCCGAGTACAGAGAAGGATGGTTCTTCAGATGCTTCAGAGTTATCGGGTTAGTGATTCCGGGTTTGCCAGCTCACTTCCCCAACGATTACATAAACGTTACTCGCTTGGGAGGCTCGCCTCTTCAATTCCATGAATCTCCTCGTTCAACCTTACACGAGGACTAAGTCCCTCTGCTCGGCTCGGACTTGTTCCAGTGGCAGCTTTGTGTGAGAAATCTGTTGCTTTGCTCTTTTGAAAGAATGTCAAGAAGATTGATTCTTTGTGCCGAGGAAAATAATAACATATAAAACAAAATCTGGTCAGTACTCAAGTATGAAAAACTACCAAAAAGATTATAATAACGTCAACGTTTGAGTACGAAGTGTTGAAAAAATGAACAACAAAGCTAAAACATGAAGGATATAGGCACGGACACATATCTGCGCATACATGGAAATTAAGTAACTCGGCTATTGCTGGATACCAAAGGATCAAATCACCTCTAACACCACGAGGGGATCAACATAATGTATATTAATCAATGAGGGTGAATACCGTGAATGGGTAGAAAGGGATGGATTGATCCCGAGGATTAAAAGGCGAGGGTCAAGATAGAGTATTCTCACATGTTCTGAGAGCTTGATTGTTGTAGAGGGCGAGATTCATATTTTACCAAAATCGCATCAACACCTCTCAGTGTCTCCTTCTGCTTTACAATGCCATTTTTGCAAACCCCCGGAGCTTCCATACATAAGCTGGTAATAAAAAACGAGAACAAACCTTGTTAAATGATCATTTTCTGCACATGGTATATGACTATGCTATGATGCGTGTCACTAGTGGATATTGCCGTTCAAAGACTGTAAACACAACATCCACACGAGACGGCAATATCAACAATTTTTTCTGCGAGTCACAACGAGGAATATAAGAGGGTAGTTTATTATGTAAGGGTGAAAAGTGTGCGAAAGTTACCGTAGATGGTTATATAGCATAGCAGGTAAAGCAACCACTAATGGAAGCCATCTTCCGAGTTCTTCTGAAAGATACAATCTTGCGGGATGAAGCTGAAACTTGTTGACCATGATTGGCTAACACAGAGCTCCGCATATCATTCGCTCTCCTTTGCGCCGATTTCAGCTTTTTCATGATCTTTTCCATTGACGATGTTCTTTTCTTTTCCAGTTGCATCTGGAAAACGTTCCAAAAGACATTATCAGATGGCTGGCCATTCCACCACCTAAATTCACGAGTTTTCCACAAGCTCTCAAGCCAACACACCCAACGAGGGGGAGAGCTTTCCGTACTGATATTAATTTGAAACCGTTCGTGGCACAAAAAAAAAGAAGAATTGTTCTCATGCTTCAAGCTTCAGTATCGTGCCCTAGAAATACGAAGACAGAGAGAGAAGAGAGAACCTCTAGTTTTCTTATTGCTGCCTCCGCTTTTGCTTTTTGCAAATTTTCCCATGCATTGATTCTAGCGTCCTCTCTCTTTACCCTGCAAAAACATGAAAGTTCAATCAAGGTGCCTTGAGCTCAAACATAAAAACAGCTTCCATGGCGTACATTGGATTAGCATCCTACTAGGAGTAATATAACATGCCTATTCAGACTGGCGAATTTATTTCTTGGTCTTTAAGAAAGGTGGATCAAGATTCTGAAACTCATAGATAGCGTGCTGAAAACAAGTCTACCTGTGGTACATATCATTCTTCAGAGTTAAGATACTAATAAATATGCTTCGACCAGTTTTCATCTTTTGCCATTTTGATCTTAGATTTTAGGAGGAATGTGAACTGAGAAATGTTATAACACACAAAAACCTGAATATAATCAAAATGCCAAATGCAACCCAGACATGACATCTCTAGAAATGAAGTGGGAAGACCCTATAATGCATCGGACATACCATGTCAAGCCTTGGGGATCCATGGCTTTTCCGTTCAAGTTTTCCCGCATTTCTGTGCTCTTTCCGTGGTATAGGGCCCTGTGCTTCCTCGACCAACGTGTAACAGTGACCTTTCCATCAACCTGCAAATCCCTGACTTCTGATTGAGAGGAACGGCCATTTTGTATTTCCATAATAGGTAGTGCTGCAGAGGACCGAGAGCACGAAGATCTTCTCTCAGGGGATGAGTTGATGCTTCCATCTGGGCTCATCTGGGTTGCCATATCCCTTCTTGATGCAGCACGAGGATTGGTGCCAACATCCTTAACATTTTCAAGGATGTAATCTGTACATATCAGTAACGAGTTGGTAAGAAAAGACCACCAAAATTTTGAAGTAAAAATCATTAACATTATTGAGATGTTTATAGGTCATAATCTTAAAATGATCAGCAGGACTGGGTAGTGCATTAATCCACAGGGCTTTCGTCTACTAGTTAATAAGATTGTTTTCGCTTGACAGTAGCACAAAAGCGGTGAAAATTTAGAAGCGTGTATATATATGTAGATATATCTGACTATCAATCACTAACCTAGATGGGGCTCTAACCAAAAGTTGGTGCATGAAAACATAATGCAGCAGGATTGATCGGATCATACCTTGGGATGGTAACTGAGGGGGTGCCAGTGTCTCTGAGCAGCCATGAATGCTAATTGATCTAGCTATGCAAGGATCTATTCTTGAAGGAAATGCTGCATCAGAGACTCCAGAATATCTGTCTGTTGCTATGACCCCAGCCGAAAATGCAGAGCCTACCATGAAGTTGCCCATGCTCCCACCTTCAGCACTTGGAACAGCTGGAGAATACAAGGAACAATATGCAAGTCCTGGAGGCCCTAAAGGACCACTCTTTGATTTAGGCCGAAATCCATGTGACACCGCAAATGAAGTTCGAACGACTCCTTCCCGAGCAACAGGACTAAATATCCACCTCTCTGCGTCTTCCCACTTTGAAGGTAGAGTTTTCCCACTGTATAAGGGCGTAAATGCAGCATGGCCTTGACTTCTCCCCCCATTTGAACGTGACGGTACTCGTTCCGAGCTCCAACCCTTTGGCATTGCAATGCTACCATGCAGATAAGTCGGAGTTCCTGGACTAGGAAACGCACTGGATTTGTTGGTCGAAACTGAGTTTCTCTTTACGGTTAGCAGTCGTGGAGAGAAAGAAGTGACATTTTTTAGATCCAGAGAAGGAGTTCTTTGCATATCGAGCTTCTTTGCCAGAGCTTCGGATCTGGATCTCCTATCCTGACATTCTATAAAGATTTCCAGATTCCAGTCAAAATCAAAAGTTTTCTCTTCTAGTAAAAGTGAAAAAACTTTTAAAAAAAAAGTTTGGCTTACCTTTAAGAGCTAAAGAGAATGAGTTCCTAGCGGAATCCAAGTGCTGGCTCTCATCTTCCGCGTTCACTTTGTTATCTTCTTTCTGCACTGCTTGCGGTTGAAAAAACAGCATAAATGAGTTTGTGAAATTAAAATCGAAACTCCAATGCATGATTGGTCCCTTTTGCACATTTTCTCTTGTATTTTCTTTAAATTCACTTTTATCACTGTACCTTTCACTTTATCTGCTTTTCTAGAGTTCCAACTGTGCTTTCTCCCTGTTGAAAGCTTGTTTGGATCTAGATTTGCACAATTCGAAATTCCCCTGGGATCTCGTTCCTGTCCCCTCAAATGTGGTAACAGATAACGAGAGTTACTCGCAGAACGCCGAACTCAAACTGCAACAACGATATTCTAGCTTCTAGTAGAACTAGATCAAGTCTCATCGAAAGCTTCCAAAACATAATCACGTAACGTAATGTATACAATCCTCCGGGAATTTCATCTAAAGATTTTGCAAGTTGAATTTACATCTTTTTAGTGCATGAAACGAGGTTCTACTCGATTGGAAACAATGTCTCTGGAACTGATAAGTCTCAAGCTGAAACCTCGATTGTAGCAATTGAATCGAAAATTGTGGAGTTAAAACTCGATTGTTCCATCGACTTCGTCATCTTCAATCCATCACCAGATTTCCCAAAAACCTACAGCTTCTCTAATCTACTAGGAACAGAGGGTAAACTGAAAATGCAATTCTATTCCTAATCCATCAAACTGATTCCCAATCGAAGTACGCGGCACAGAACTTCCGTGATTTTCCGATGTTTGAATCAGTCAAATACGAGTGCATATTTCATGATACTCGTTCACCAGAACTTCACGTGAGCTACGATTTCTCAGGAGACAAAAACAATAGCGTACCATGGAGAGATCGGAGACGAGAGAGTCGCGATCCTGAGCATCGGAAGCAAAAGAGCAGCGATCGACGCTCGCAGAGGCAGAGGAGAAGAGGCTGAGATTTGATTCCGGCGTGAAGATCAAGGAATCAGGACTAGCATCACGGCGAGCTACACCACACACCGCCGCTGCCGATCTCGCCGGCCGTTGGACCTGGTACGCGGCGTCCGACGGCATTGTATTGAAGTCCTCCCTCGGCTACTATTTCCGATCGTCGTACTTCGCATTCAAGCTGCAGAAAGAGAGAAGATTCCTGGTGATTTTGGTTACGTGATTCGTTTGCTGCAGCGAGGAATTGATTATGTCTTTGACTCGAGAGAGAAAGAGAGAGAGTATTGACCACGAGAGAAGGGTGTGAAAAGAACCGAGAAGAAAAAGACATTTACGGGATTTTTTTTTTTTTTTTTTCTTGCGTCGTCTTTTTTTTTTTCTTCTTCTTTTGTCCTTTTCTTTTCTGTGGGCAACCCTGTAGCAATTTTCATAGTACACAATTATTTTGCTTTCATGTCCTTAGGAACAAGACTAGATATTTCGTGAGTATGAACAAAACAAAATTTAATCATATTCCAATTTAATTTATATTTTTAAATTTTGAATTGATGAAATTATGGAAATGCTATATAATATAATACGGATTAGAGAAGAAATAAATTTTAAAAGTAATTAAGTTTTATTCAATTTCATGGTGGAATATTTTGATGTTATTCAAATATGTAGTTTTTTAGCATGCGTTATTTGTATTACAGTGAAAAAGCCAAATTTCAAGTTGAGTCAATTATTTGTATATTTTTATTGTGATTTTGCTAAAGTGGAATCCTTGAAGATTATATCAAATTACGGCCACAATCATAGCCAATGTCTAATCACGAGAAAATGTTTTTTAATGTTTTAGATTTTAGTGGTTTTGAAGGATGAATAGATATTAATTTTCGTACCTAAAAAAATAATTAAATATATTAAAATCGTATATAATATTTTGGAAAATCATCAGATATATTTTTCGCATTAAATAGTTATCTTATTTGCAAAAATAGAACAAATCTTTTTTTTTTTTGGTCAAACCTGAAAGTTCACATGGACCTTCGGTCCAGACTACATCTCCTTGGGTCCGGGAGTAGCCTTTGAACACACAACCTTTGGTTATGCCTCTCCCTCCCCGCATGCCTGGATTCGAACTCCTGACCTGGAGGAGGAACACCCTCACTTCCAGTTCAGGTACCACTCGACCACAAAATAGAACAAATCTTTGTTCATTTGTTTTTCATTTTTCTTTTGTCCTAACCTTAAAAAAATCTCATATATATATATATATATAATCGTAATGTTTTCGTTCGAAAATGTAAAATAAAAAGTGCAAAAATAAAAACACGAAGAAATATTTTCTATCGCATTCGTTAGAAGTTGTGGAAGATTACTAGACATCACACATTAATTTTGTCTTCATTACATTTGTTTTTCTCTTATATGTTTAACTATTAATCAAGAAAAAGAATTTGATACATAAATTGTTGTTTAGAAAAAAGTTTAGCTAATTTCATTCAATCTTTGAACACATATATATACATATTTTCCAGCATATTATGTCTTTTTATCAGCATTGTATGTAATCGATCGTGATCGAATATTTGAGAGAAAAAATGGTCAAATTAATCACTTGTTGAGGTTCTTTGAAATTATTGTTTGGTTTGAAATTGATTTTTTTTTCTCATAAATTTAAACAAATAAATCATTCCAAACTAAAGCGAAATTCAATTAAAATGGATAATTATAATTGTTTTACAAAAAAATCCAAAAGAATATTTAAACCAAATCCCCAAATATCCGTACTTATTTGACTTCTATTACTTCTATTGTCTATAACTCTATTATAGTATGGTGGTTACTTAACATTAATTGTATGGTTGAAAAATTTTTATTCGAATTTGCTATATCAAGATTGATTATGTTATTTCTTTTTTCATAGTGTTAGAATTCGTTTTAGTTAGTGTTGGGCAGAAGTTCCAGTACAGTTAGCAATTAAATAATAGATTTATAGAAAGTTGGCACCAACCAGTTTTGAATTGTTTGATTTGCATTCTATTATTTATCATATGATTATAGCATTATCATAACATTGAATGATATGCCTGTTTTTTAAGCTGATAAAACTATTATATTATGACATCTCGGTATCGATTAAAAAAGTGATCGTCGGTGTAAAAGGGTACAGATAAAAACGATTTTGATAGATTTTTAGATTGAACGGGTACGAGAATGAATCGTATGAAAGAGATTCGAATGTTATGTAGATATGAGATTACATAATCAACGATAATTTAAAAATATTGATTGAATTATTCATAAAAAAAATACATTTACTTTTTTGGTTGTTTATTCCGAAAATAATCTTATGTAGTATTTAAAAATATTTCATATAATATCATATACATAAAAAGAAAACGATTATTTTTAAAATTTGAGTTAAAATAATCTTGTGATGATTTTTTTTAATTTTACTTATAATTATATAAAAATTTGAATTTTAAAAAGATAAAAATTTTAAATATTAATCAATGTAAAAAATATTATTATTATTATTATTTAATTATACTTTAAAAAATCTTTAATAATAAACAAATTACAAAAAACAAAATAAAATTACTAAAAAAAATTAAAAAAGGAAAAATCCTTAAACGTGGGGCCCATATACACATATAACATTCATGTCCGCATATACATACATTATACATACATATATATACATACATACATATATGGAGAAATATGACAGTTATATGACTAGATGATAACTTCACCCGCAAACCGCGCTGTATACGTTTGGTGTATATTTACTTACTCCGCTAACGATGCCTTAAAAGACGCGGTTACTCCCATATATTTATTTTACAGGAATTAAATCTTAACACCGATAATAAAAGGGACGAAAAAGAGCAACACATGCATGAATAATTGGTTATATCATTATCTAGAGGTGTCAAATGACCGGGTCGGACCGGGTCGACCCGAACCTAACACAAATCCAAATATTTATGGGTCGGGCCAGCCCGGCCCGAAAAACCAACGGGTTTTGATTTGTGAAGTCCGAGCCCGTAAATTTTACGGACGTGTTCGAACTAGGTATGAGATCTCGACCTTTTTTTGACACCCCTAGTTATATCTCAAAAATAAATAAATAAAAATTGAAGAATGTTGCATGTAAAGTGACTTTAGAAAAAATAAAATAAAGTTTTGTAGCGCTGTTGATATTAATGGAAAACCAATGAAATTTTAAAAAAAGTATTAAAAAAGGACATTTTTTATTGATACGAGTACAGTTTAATTGAATCAAATAATATTTAGTTGTATATGAATTGAATTCAGTTTAAATAGATTTAATCCAAACCAAATTAAATATAAAACAATTAAATATTCGAATAAAATATTTTTTTTAAAATAAGTAATTTTTTAATGGTTTGAAATAAAAAACCAATAAATATATTGTGACAGTCCAGGATACCGTAGGAGGGCGGGGAGTGATCGCGGTGCGAGAGGTATGGACAATGGGCGGCTCCTGACGAGTTTCTGGGTAGGGGTATAGGGATGAAGCGGACGCACCGGAATGAGACGGATCCGAGGGTTGTGTAGGTATGGGACTACACAGTCTAAGGTAACTTAAAGGAATCAAGTGAGCTACTCATAGTAACAAGATGCATCTACCTTTTCGCTTCCCCATCTCGAGAGAACTCTAAAGTTAAGCGTGCTGGCCTTGGAGTAGTCTTAGGATGGGTGAGCTCCTGGGAAGTACTTTCCGGGATGTGTACGAGTGAGGACAAAACACGCTAAAAGGTCTCGTGTTGGTGTGTGGGGACAACTCTATCATATTCTAGCGGTCTCGGGTTGTTACAAATGGTATCAGAGCCAGTTCTCTCCCAGTACGGTGTGGTTCGTGGACAAACCAGGCGGAAGCTGGTGGGCCTGTGACAGTCCAGGATACTGTAGGAGGGCGGAGAGTGATCGCCGGTGCGAGAGACATGGACAATGGGCGGCTCCTGACGAGCTTCTGGGTAGGGGGTACAAGGATGAAGCGGACGCACCGGAATGAGACGGATCCGAGGGCTGTATAGGTATGGGACTACACAGTCTAAGGTAACTTAAAGGAATTAAGTGAGCTACTCATAGCAACAAGATGCATCTACCTTTTCGGTTCCCCATCTCGAGAGAACTCCAAAGTTAAGCGTACTGGCCTTGGAGTAGTCTTAGGATGGGTGACCTCCTGGGAAATACTTTTCGGGATGTGTGCGAGTGAGGACAAAACACGCTAAAAGGTCCCGTGTTGGTGTGTGGGGACAGCTCTATCATTCCGTAGCGGCCTCGGGTTGTTACAAATATTTTTATTTTTAAATTCCAAATATAAAAATTATAACCATACAAATTCTTAATTTGCGAGCATGAAATTCAAACCTCAATGAATTTCCTCTTCAAAACCCTAAAATATCAAACGTATTTTAGATAACAACGTTTCTGAACGGAATTAGGGAAGAACAAGAAAATATCATTTGCGAGCATGAAATTTATAACTCAAACAATACTGTTGGGCTTTTCGGCCCACCGCGGAAAAAAGAGAAACCCTCTGACTGAGAGGAAGGTTTTTCCGAAACGATGCGTTTCGGGATTGAGGGTATTAACCCTAGGCCGTGATCATTCTTCCAAGTTCCAAGGCAAAGACAAAAGATTTCTAGGTTTGGTTCTCATGCGCGCGTTTCCGTTTCTGTATTTCTGTTCTTGGATTCCGACTTATGGAGCTCCGCCGATTCTTGTACTTTCCGGTATTCTTTTCGTCGATCAGAGGATTGTCAATTTTGTCCGGATGAGATATATGACTTTTGAAATCCGAACTCGTAAAAAACATATGGAAATCGTATATAAATATCTAAACTTTTATAAAAATCTCATATAAATCTTCGAAGTATAAAATTTTCAATATAAATTTTTAAACTTTTTTAAAAAAATTATATAAATATTTAGATTTAAAAAATTTAAATAAACTCAAAATTTGAGGTATTTTTTTAAATAAAATTAGTTAGCATCATTAACAGATTTTTGGATTTATTTGAAAAATATTTTATAAATTTGGGTATTTTTATAGAATTTTAGAAAAGTTTTTTTTATAAGATGTGCTTATATTACTTCCCAACCAATTAGAGTTTTACAAAAAAAATTGACTATACAAAAAGGGATTCCTATGCGCATAGCGGGCAAAAAGTAAAATCAGAAATTTAAACGATATCAATGCTGGAGGAATTCGTTCATGATTGTATTCGTCGGACTCTACAGTGAGTATAGGATATTTCTCATCGATCTGTCGATCTTGTGTCGGAGTTGATAGACGGAGTGAATCATCTCCCGATGGATGCGGCCATTCCGTTCGTTCCAAAACTCATACGCCACAAGTTGCGTAAGTAACTTCATGATGAGTTGAACAGGTGGCTGGAGCTTATGACCCGCCTGTAACCAATACTAGCGGTCATATATGCTGGTAGGAGGGTTTTCCCTCAATTTTCCTACGAAAAAATTAATATCACAGTGAAGTACTAAAGTCACAAGAGAAAAAGAGATGCTCATGTGATTCTTTCTCTCGGCAGTAGAGAATACAACGATTCGGCCCCATGATCCCCCAACTAGCCAGCCTATCCATAGTCGGTAGTCTCCTATGAAAAATCTGTCAAACTAAGAATGCATGTCGTGGGATGCATTTCTTAAACCACACTAGGTTATGCCATCCAACAATAGTCCTCGGGGTACGACAAAGCTCCCATCTCTGTTTCGTTTGGAAACTAGGCCTATAGTCACCATTTGTTCATCGCCACAAACATGTGTCCAGTCCTACATCAGGTCTCGGTGGATCAGTATGTAATAGGAGGATGTGGAGTTGTTGGATGTGGTCATTCCTCACGCTCGGCAAACTCCAGCTACTATCCCGTATGACATCTGCCACCATAGTCGCTTTTGGTAACCGCAACAGTCGAGGACCAACTAAGCCAATGAAGTCAATCAGCGGTCCGAGAGGCAACCAACTGTCATACCAAAAAGACATCGTCTTTCCATCTCCCAGGTTAATTTTAGTGAAAGGTCTCGCATTGGCATTCAATCGTAGCAATTTCTTCAAGTTCCATGTAACATTGGTCATCTCCTTCACTTCCTAGTAAGTTTTACCTTTAGAAAAATACTAAGTGTATTAGTTTGTTGTTTATGTTTTTGCTAATTACAAATCTAATCTATTAAAATAAATGTTGTTAATATACTTTATTCACTAGAGCAAAATTATCAGGATTTGAACCGAGTAGTGTATAATTTGAATTCGTACACGTGTTTATAAACAAAAATTATTATCTATACATAAGATTTGAATTTCACGATTTCATATTAGCTATCCACGTAACTGTAAAAATAATTTTTATATTTATTAAAAATTAACAAATTAGTCTTAATGTTTTTGGATAGAAGCCCTTTTAAAATTATAAAATATCATGTATTTATCACAAGTTACAAATTTATTTTATTTTATTTTTATAAAATTCTTGTTTGAAAACTAATAAATACCCAAATATTTTTCAAAAAAATTCAAAATAAAATATTTTAAAATTTTCTAAGATTTATAAAAATATTTGGATATTTTACCATCCATGCAAATATCTAATATTCATATATATATATATATATATATATAAAGTTTAATGAATGAAAATTAAAATGAAAGTTATACAGAAATGAATTTGTTTTATTATAATATTTGGAACTAAATATCTGAATACATCACAACAAAACTGTAATATACATAAAAAAAAAATTGCTGTTTAAATATATGGTGACAAATATATAGTAAAGTTTATAAATAGTTTCAATCGAAATACTATTTTAGTTATAGTAAATAGTGTTATCATTTTAGTCCCATCATTTTTTTAATATTTGTTATAAATCATTTTTGATGTGGAGTTGTGGATATTAAAACTTGATTTACTTATATTGCCTCTATTTTATAAGATTGGAAGAATATGGGGACGTTTGTGCAATTTTCCCTTTCATTTCATAAACCCTGCGAGAAATCCGAGTGAAGCGAGGTAGGGATCTCCAAAACTGAAAGGCTTCAATGGAGGACGGCGAGATCGAGGAAGGAATGGTGACGGAGGAGGGAGCCCCAAGACCGGAGGTGGCGGAAGAGGAGACGGTGGCTTCCCTGCGCAAGGCGGAGAAATCGCCGCACGAGTTGCTGCGAGAGAGCAAAAATTCCGTAGAAGAAATCATCGCGAAGATGCTCTCCAACAAGCGAGAAGGAAAGTCCAAGTCCGAGATTCGTGATCTCCTCACGCAGATGTTCCTCAACTTCGTCAATCTCCGTCAGGTTCGGACGATCTACGTCATGTGTTTTGTCCGATTTCTCATATTCCACGGATATGAAGAACCTAGGACTTTGTGTTTTACTCGCAGGCGAATCGTTCGATTCTGTTGGAAGAAGACCGAGTGAAAGCGGAGACAGAGCGAGCGAAGGCGCCGGTGGATTTTACGACGTTGCAGCTTCACAATCTGATGTACGAGAAGAGCCATTATGTGAAAGCCATTAAAGCTTGTAGAGATTTCAAATCCAAGTATCCCGACATCGAGCTCGTGCCCGAAGAAGAGTTCTTCCGGGATGCTCCTGAGTCAATCAAGGGCCCTTCACTGTCGGATGATGGTTCCCATGATTTGATGCTCAAGAGACTAAATTTTGAGCTCCATCAGGTGAGTTGGTTGAACGTAATCCATGATTGTCTTTAAGCTTCCATTATTACCATTATGTTTGCTTAGAGAAAGACATAGATTGATGTTTATCGTGTCTCTATGTTATTGAGCTCTCGGAATGGAAGAACGCTAGGATTTGAGATCTGTGCCTTTGTTTTTGCCAAAATGTGTATCTTCCTGTGGAAAATTCTTGTTTTATATGGTCTTATAGGAGCTACCGAGCATCTAATTCTCTTACATGTGATACTTATACTTGTCGTGTTTGGTTTCGAAAGCGATGGAATGGAATATCTGAGGTGATATATGTTGTTTGTATCAGCGAAAAGAATTGTGCAAGTTTCGAGCAAGGTTGGAACAGCAGAAGAAGAGCTTACTGGAAACTATCGCAGAGCGTAAAAAGTTCTTGTCGAGCCTTCCTTCCCACCTCAAGTCTCTAAAGAAAGCATCTCTGCCAGTACAGAGCCAGTTGGGTTTGCAGCATACAAAGAAGCTGAAGCAGCATCATCTAGCTGAGCTGCTTCCTCCGCCGCTGTATGTTATCTACTCACAGCTCTTTGCACAAAAGGAAGCTTTTGACGAGAGTATCGATCTGGAGATAGTTGGGAGCCTTAAAGATGCTCAATCTTATGCTCGGCAACAAGCTAATAAGGACCCAGGTAAGTTGTAGTAAGACCCTTTTGTCCAGTGGAAGTTGGAAATGCAAAACTGAAATCGGTGCTGATTCGTGCTTAATGTTTCAGGTATGACCAATAATACGGAGAGTACTAGGTTGGAGGATGATGGAGCCGATGAGGATGATGATGGACAAAGGAGAAGGAAACGGCCAAAGAAAATTAGTAGCAAGGAGGGTTCTGATCAGGCAGGATTATATCAAGTTCACCCTCTTAAAATCCTCCTCCACGTTTATGATGACGAGATTCCTGATCCCAAATCTCGAAAACTTGTCATGCTCAAGTTTGAGTTCTTGTTGAAGTTGAATCTTGTTTGTGTTAGCACTGAAGGGTCTCAGGATGGGTCTGAGAATGATATCTTGTGCAACTTATTTCCAGATGACACAGGTCTTGAGCCTCCTCATCAGGTATGGATGTTTCCTATCACTTATCCACAGGTTTTCCGTTTCTGCAATTTTTTTTTCTTCAGTTTTTTATGCTTAATTGGATTCCTTATATGATGATACAGTCAGCCAAGCTTATTCTTGGTGATGGTCAGACATTTGATGAGAGCAGAACTTCAAGGCCATATAAATGGGCACAACATTTGGCGGGCATTGATTTTTTACCTGAGATGTCTCCGTTTTTAGACGGCCAAGGTACTCAAAACAGTGATGCCACTAAAAATGATGCTTTCACGACTGATCTCTCACTTTATCGTCAGCAGCATAGGGTGCAGACAATTCTACAAAGAATACGCACTCGCAAAAAGGCTCAGCTGGCTCTTGTGTGAGTCACCACTTTGTATGTTTTCCGTATTGATTAAGGGACACACCATCTTTGATTGAGCCATCTCGAGAAACATTTCTAGAATATTACATTGGTGTCTTTCTTTCTTGGTACTTTTAATGGCCAAATTTTCTAATTGTCTTGAGAGTACGCACTTTGCCTCTTTGCCGCACTGTCATCTAATTTCTCTAAGATTGTCCCGGGGTATCAGTTGTCTTAATGTGTGTTTTTTTTTGTTATCTGGAAACTTTTACTGTCTTACAGGGAACAGCTCGATTTGCTGAAGAAGCTTGAATTGCCTGCTCTGAATTATGAAGGTGTTCCATGGGCTCTGCATAAAACAGTCTGTGCTTTGGATTCCTGGTTGTTCATAGGGCCTTCAGCTAGTAGTAAGTCTTCTTCTCTGCTTCCAAATACTACGGAGCAACTTTCAGAGCCTATGGACATCGACGCAGATGGAAGATCTGCTTTATCAAAGGAAGAGCTTGAAAGTGCCAGAGAAGATGGAGAACTTCCGTCTTTGGTCACAGCTGCATCTGTGATTAACGTCACCAAACCGACCCCAACCAAAGCATCTAGTCTAGGCCAGTCCAGGCAGTTTGCATTGATGACAAAGAACCTCGATTCTCCTATTAACAAGGGAAGGTCACCGAGTTTTAAAAAGTACGAAGATGATTTGGATCTTGTTTTGGATAGTGACAGCGAAGTGGATGAGCCAGCAGCACAAACAGAAGAAGCGGAAGAAACACTACCTGCTCGCGAGAAAGCTGATAATTCTTGGATGGACTTTGGTGCTAGAGAATTTCGTCTCGTGTTATCCAGGAAAGCGAATACGGGTTCGAAGTCTTGGAAGTTAGAAGCCAAGGTAGCATCTAAAATTCCGTCCCGTTCATCATTCTCCTTATCTGTAGCACCACACAGGACAGTGTTAACACATCTACTTGTATCGGCAGGTCAAGATTAGCATGGAGTATCCTCTCCGACCACCTCTGTTTGCTTTGTCTCTCCACGCTTCTTCAGGAAACGAAAACGGGACCAATGAATCTGAACACCGCAATGAGCTACAAGCCATGGAAGCAGAGGTAACAACTGGATGCAGTCCCTGCTTTCCCGCTTGTGCCATAAATAAAAAGCTCTGGATTTGGCTAATGTTATGGTCTTGATGGTGTTAGGTTAACCTTCATATGTTGAAGATGGTACCTCCGGATCAAGAAAACTACCTCCTATCCCATCAAACCAGATGCTTGGCAATGTTGTTCGACTTCTACATGGATGACCCGTCTCCACGTTCAGACAACGGAACGAGCACTTCCGTTTTTGACATCGGTTTGTGCAAACCCGTCGATGGTAAGCTTCTTGTTCGTTCGTTCCGAGGCAGAGATCACAGGAGAATGATATCGTGGAAGGAGAAAGGATGTTCTTCTGGTTATCCATGCTAGAGACAGTCTTGAGTCCAAATATTGCCGCTTTGATCTTATGTTTAGGGTGTTCACGAAGAAGAGTTGGCCTTGTATTTTGTATTGATTTGTAAAATCATTTAAAAATATTTATATCCAAAATAACTAAGTTTTTTTTTACATCAACAAAGGCAAAAACCTACAAGATATCTTTGCAACTTTTTAATAATTCAAAGGTATAATAGTTATCCGAATCAAAAATACCGATCTTAACCCAACTTTCGGATTTTAACATAATAAAATCTGATTGTTATCTCGTTATAACACGGATGCCCGATTTTTGGATATCCGACACCGGGATCGGTCGGGATAGATATTCGGAATTCGAGTATTTTTATCCACCGGTGGATCAGAGTACAACTTGACTATGGAAATGTTTTCCATGTAAAATGTAGGAGCGGACACGGGTCGTGTATCCCTAATTTTTAGAAAACCCTGTCTCGTCTTCATTACCACGAGTTTTACAAAAATATTATCTCAGTCTTGACTTCATAAAATCCGGGTACTTGTAGCTCGGGTTTAATGAGATTCTCGGTCTCGTACTCGCGGGTACCCGGACCCATACGATTTATAAATTTTGAACTATAAAATGATAGATATAAAAAATACAAATGAGAGAGGTCAAAGTATAAAGAGAAAAATTCACGATGAAGAGAGATGAGTAAAATTTTGATAGAGAGATGAATGGTTGATTCAGTTACATAGAATGAGATTTGAAATGGTGAAATTTTTGTATAGAAAGGTTTAGAACATAAAAAAAATTGAACTAAAATTAAAAGTATTTTAATAAATAATAAAAATAATTTGGACAAAAATATTATAGATATAAAGTATATTTTAGATTTTTAACAAACATGCCGAGTACTCCGGATACCCCTTGTAAAATAATTGAACCCCACTCGGACTCGGGAGTCGAAAATTTAGTCTTATTAATACTCGATCTCATCATCGTTAATATTCGGGTACCCTTTATTCGGGTACTTGTTAAGCCGGATACCTCCAAACCCCGGGTTACGGGTTAAAACGTCCACCCCTAGTAAAATGTTACAATTTTCTCCTAAATTTTGATAAAGCATGGTCATGTGATGAGAGAAGGGAAGAGATTCTGATTCTGTGTTTGGATGTAAAATATATGACGAGAGAATTTACATGGACCTTACCTTAGCGTAAAGGATGAAAGCCTCTTCTCTTCACTAAACCCCAAGGATCTATGCAAAATATGAAATCTCCCACTGATTATACACAGAAGCTAACTATACCCCCAAAAAAAAAAAAAAAAAAAAAAACTCCTAATCAGATTCTGGGTTTTGTTGTATCATCTTTTCACCAAGGCCCTGTTTGCGTTCTCCTCAGCCGTTTCTTGGGACCTCCTTGTAGACTCATCATCTCCATCGCCTGTTCATTTACATTCAGAAAAAGAAAAAAGGGATTCAGCTTTGGAGCCGACCCGACGATGATCAGATTGCTCGTTGTAGGAAAACGTCAAAGTTCTGTAGAATTTACCGCCGGAAATCTCTATCTCGTGGCTCGATGATATGATAAAGCGAAGGAACCGACCAATTAACCGGAAAAACGATGCTAAGACGCTAAATAAAATATCGAGAAACGAAAAGGGTACCTGATTCTTTTGCATTTCCATCATCTCTGCCTGCAAAACACGAGGGAACGTAACGACGGTGAATGTAGTAACCCGAGCAGTTGTGGCCGTAGAAATGGACAGTTACCTGCTTTTTTCGTAGCTCTTGGTTCTCTTCCTTCAACTTCGCGATTTCGGCTTCAAGCTCCATGGTATAAGCCTGTAAACCGAATCCAATCAGCGAATTCATTCAGCAACAAGAACACAAGATTCACTTTCAACGATTTTCTTTCTGATACCAAATTTACCGACAGAAAAATTGGATTTATCTCTTTGAAACCAGATCAAGCAACAACTGAAGTTTGCATGTCTTTAGCTCGAAACATGACAGAGCGTAAGAATCGGTAAGAAAGCAGATGGAGTCTTACCTGCTTTCGAGCCCGTGATCTTGCTGCTGATTCTCGGTTTTTGATCATTCTTCTCTGCCTTCTCTCGACAACTTTTTCCACCGCACCACTGCTCTTCCTTCCCCTCATGCCTCCGCTAAACATATAAGGCAAAGGCGAAACTGATGAAGTGTCGCCATTACTCTTCCCTGTCCCGTCTGTCGACAATGGTGTAACAGGAGAAGCTCCACCAATGCCCACGGCTCCAGCTAATCCCAACCCGCCACCTGTCATCAGACCCGGGCCTTGAACTTGAACCAAACCCGCATTGCCTCCGAGACACCGATCAGTAAGTCCCATGAGACCACCTCTGATGCCATGACTATTCGGCTGTCCACCCAGCAATGGCATTTGTGTTCCGTACCCGAAAGCCGGTTGCTTTGGTTCCTGATGCTGGTTTGATGATCTAGCTCCATTAACGTTCACGGGCAACATAGAGCTCTGTCCTGACATTTGATTTCCACTCTCTGGACCAAGATTTCCCATCAAACCAGCAAACCCGTCACCCGAAACAGCGGTATTACCAACAGAACCGGACGAATCACGGAAATATCCGCCCTTGTTTGCCTTTCCGGCAGCCTGTGTTTCCTCTCTAACAACCCCAGCTCGCACCAAGAACTCCTCTAACGTTACTTCCCCTAACGTTTGTTGCCTCTGAGGCAGGTTTGATCCTCCACCGCCGTTGTTAACCGCCGTGTATTCCTTTGAGATATCTTTCCATACTTCATCAACCCTTTTTTGGCTAAGTGTTCGAGGCAGAGTCAATGAGCCCTGTCTCTGCAAACCATCTTGACCACCTTGGCCCCTGCCGCCATTACCACCACCGCCTCCGACAGCACCAGTTGAAGCCATGGCTTGTGTCTCTTCGGCACTCCATATGTTCTTTAACAGCTCGTCCATGTTCATTGACCCAAAATCTTTGCCCAAACTTGACTGAAACTCGTCGAATGTCAAAGAGTATATCGATCCTTGTCTGGTCAACGGAAAGCTAGCCGGCGGCCCGTTCCTCCCTCCGTTGCCTCCTCCTCCTCCTCCGCCTCCGCCGCTGTCTCCCGGCGGCTCATAGCCGAAGTTCTTGAAATTCAAGTTACTAGCCATTTTCGGACAATATTGAATCCGACAATTTTAGGATAAGCTGGTCTAAAATGGCGGATCTTCAACGCAAGAGCTCCGATCTGAAAACGCCCAGAACACAGATCACCGATTTCAACCTCGAAATCTAAATACCCTCGAAATTCCGAAATTCCAGGAACCCATCTCACAGAATCAGATCAAGAACAACAACAAAAAAAAATCCCAAATTGAAAAACCCTGATTAAGAAAACCAGGAAATTCCAAAAAGAACACTATCACGAAATAAATAGAACCAAATCTTTGCAAGAAATTTACCAAAAAAAAAAATCTTTGCAAGAAACAGAGAGAATCGGATTTCAGCAACCCACGGATCATGCAATGATAAGACATTGAACGATAAAAAAAAACATCTTTTTTTTTTTATCGTTCTACCTTTTTTTCCCCCCAATTTCCCTGTCGAAAGCCTCCGATTTCTTTTTTTTTCTGTGGTTTTTTTTTTTACAGTCTCTCCTTCTCGCTGAATCTGTCTGCTTGTTGCTCCTCTGGTCTCTGAGTTCTGTTTGGTTCTTTCGCGTGTTTTAGGCACTTTCTCTATGACGCCAAGTGTCTCTGTGTCTCCTACCCATTCTATATATATATATATAATCTCTGTAATGATTCAGCATAATTATATTTTGTTTCAAGACCATGTTACAAAAATATACAAATGTCTGGATTTTTTCAAAATTTTTAAAACAGATTTTATTATGTGACAAGAATTAAAATGATTTTTAGAGTAACAATTACTCGAGAAAATTTAAACAGTAATTAAACATATTAATCGAGAAAGTTTAAAATTTAATTCTTAAAAAAGAAATTTTAGTATATGGATTTTTTTGTAAAATAATTGTACCAAAATCCCTAAAATTTATTTAAAATTATTAGAAGTTTCTGAATCATTATGGCAATTCAACATCCAAAATTATATATTTAATTCATTTAAACATTTTCATCATATATAATAGTAGAAGGTGAAAATAAAACAATCATTAATCACGCTTACATGACGTTAAAATAAAAACAACAAAAAATCAAACTGAAAATTTTATGTTAAAAATTAGGTTTTGTATAATACAATATATTAAAATTTCACCAACTTTGTATGCAATATGAATATAGATCTATGAAATTTTCAGCCGTATTCCTTAAATTCTTTCTATTAGATTTAGATTGTTTTTATTGATTTTACAACATTAAAATTTTAAAAATGATTTAGTTGGTAATAATAACTTTCTAAAATTTCAATATACAATCGAAACCAAAGTTTAAAAAAAATATATCAAATTATATCATCCGATTTTAGATAAATACAGATAGAATCACAGACTCGCCATTGACAACGTTTTCGTTTTCTTTACCTTTATAAAAACAAAATGAAAACGAAAAAATAAAAAAGATAATATCCTAATATTCCATTAATATATAAAATTAGAAAATTATAAAAACAAAATGAAGCACGGTCGGATAATGGTGAAGTGGGGCCAAGTGGAGATGAGAAACGTGGCCCAATAAAATAAGGGAAAAGAGACTTTTTTTTTATGTCTGACATTGACACCTTCCACAAATACAAAGTCGCCGTAACAGTTGATCACGTCCGTCCACGTCGCCTCCTAAATCAACGGCCACGATGCATCTTCAAAATTTGTCTGATTGTTTCTGGTTCATTTCGGGCCGACGTTGATTGGACAGTGACCCATTTACACGTGTTGTCTTGTCGATACAATGAACTTCTCTTGACCTCAATTATGAAGTTTTAGTCCATTCGGTTCGGTTTAAATTGGGATTCGGTTTGGTCCAAACCGAATTGAATTTAGTTACAATTCGATTTGACTTGTGATCGGTTTTCCGTTGACTATTATCATTATTTGTTAGTCTAATGCATACTCAAAATAAATCAATTTTTAGGATTATAATTGTATTCAAACCAAATTGGATTTGGTATAGTTCGATTTGTCCAAACTGAACAGAAACGATCAAGCCTAATATTATTACCATGGATGAGCGTTTTGGTATCTGGTTTCATGTTCGAATCAAGAATTGTACCGTTCAGTTCGATTCTATAAAAATATATACAAATCAGTTATTATTTCATATCCGGTTTGGTTCGATTTCGATTTCAGTTTCGATTCGTTTTTTTTATTAAGAAAATTTTAGAGTTTTTTTAACAAATTTTCAGTTTTTCGAGTTTTTCGGTTCTAAAAAATTCGTTTTTTTTAAATCACCGTTCGAAAGTTTTGAATTATTCGGTTCGAAAATGATACCATATTTTTTTTGTTCGATACGTTTCGGTTCTAAAATACCGTACCGAAATACGTTTCAGTTTCGTTCGCACCAAAAAGAAATAATCAGTAAAAGACCGAAGCAGCAAAAAAAAACTATTATAAATTGAGACAGCATTAATTTATTTGTGTGTTTTTTAATTTGATGTGTCATATCAATATTTTTATTTTTATATTGCTTTTTAAACAAAAATTATGAATTCGTATTAGAAAGATAAAACTCTGAAACATCCATGATATCTCCGGAGAAATATTAGAGCGTAAATCCGATTTAATCCGCTTTGATTTTATATTAGATGATAAATATTTGTTCTTAATTCAATAATATAAAGAATGACACTATTAAACTTGTAAAATAATTCAAAACGTTCTATTACTTCATGAATCATGGGTGTCAATCGGACGGATTTGCCGTGATTTTTTTCGGACCTATATAATCAAATACGAAACTCGTCTCTATAAATTTTGGATTCAGATTGGGTCGGACCGGGTCGGCCATCCGCTCAATTTCTTTGTAATTTTTTTATTTTTTCAAATAATTAATTTTGAAAAAATATATTCGGCCTTTCGGTCCCGAATTGAATCCGGCCCGAAAATCCGATTTTTTTCGAGTCGAAAAATCTTGGTTTGTTTGGTGTATTATAAAAAATATTTCGAATGCACGAGGTTTTCATATCCATTTTGATTCTTTCAAATAAGTCGAGACCTTATATAATTTTGTAATTAAATATCTAACTAGAATCACAACATTTTTCAAATTTATTTCATTGCAACCAAAATATAATTGTGTTGCAGGAAAAAAAAAAGAAGGTTATACTGGTATTACATAATAACATATTAGGTAACAAAATCATATTCAAAGTCCTAGATTCGATTCCAATGTTGGGAAGAAATATAATTTCTGGACCAAAATGATCCATATCCAAAGAATGATCCTGGACCTAGAGTGGATATAGTCGGGTCGAAGGCTCGGGAACATCGTGGTTATCACACAAAAAAAACATATTACACAAGACGATTAATCTAATTAGACGATTTAACTGTTTTAAGCAGGAGTTTAAATGGGGCATTATCAAAAATGCCCCTAAAATGCTATTTGTACTTCATGGAGTACCCTTCTCCCAGAAAAAAAAAACACCCCCTTCACATATACCCTTCCTATATGTACAATTTCCATTATACCCTTATATTATAAAACAAATAAAATAAAAATAATAATTTTTCATATGAGTCAAATAAGTTGTCACATTGGACAGACACATGGGTCACATAGGTCACATAGATCATGGGTCACATGGGTTACATGGGTCACATGGGTCACGGATCACATGGGTCACATGGGTCACATGGGTCACGGGTCACATGGGTCACTTGGGTCACATGGGTCGAATTTATCGAAATTATTGACTTGTCATGGTTATGCAGTGATTAAGTCTGGTAACGTGTTATTCTGTTTGTAAATTTTTTTTTACAGGTATAATGGATGTAATGGAGAGAACTACAATTATTTATTTTCTCTGTGGAGGAGAATGGATTGTGAATAAGAACGGAGAATACGAATGGAACGGGAGAGTTATGGACAACCAAAGATTGTTGTTCTTTTGTTCTCCAATTGAGGTAACATATGAGCAACTTGTTGAAGAGTTATATTCTGAGATGGCAATAGACAAAGATAAAACGAAGATCAAACTAAGCTATTTACCGAATGTAAAAGAAAACAGAAAGCCCACATACCTTTTGAATGACAAGCATGTTCACATTTATCTCCTGGACAAAATAAGTGGAATGAGAGGCATGCTTCATGAGCGGTACGAGATAGCATGTACATATGAGGTAACTGTGTTGAACAGTTTTACGGACGAGTTTGAGGTGAGAGATAAAATGGGTAGGAAACACTTGGTGAGTCTAGGGGATAGATCATGCAGTTGTAAGATGTTTGACATAGACAAATATCCATGCAGTCACGCAATCGCAACAGTCCACAAGACTGGCAGAGGCAATATTATACCGGACTTATGTTCTCCATACTTTCTCCGGGAGACATGGCGGTTGGCTTATCAAGAAACGGTTTATCCGGTTCCTGATTGTTGTGATTGGATCATTGACGACCCACGGGATGCAAACCTCGTGGTATTACCTCCGATTGTGGAAGATAAACGCAAAACCGGTAGACCCAAACAAAATCGGTTTCCAGGCCCCAGCGAACCGCGGACAAAGCGTTCAAAGAAGAACAAATAAAGATATTGCATAAATAATATGATTGTATGATTTCATGTAGTTCTCGTGATCTATGTGATTATATACATTTTCCAGAAGGACATCTATTTGAATAAGGTGATTTTCTTTGCACTAGTACCGTGTTAAAGTCTTGAATAGATAGAAAAAAGTTTTGAACTGTGTGACCCATGTGACTCACCTGTGACCCATGTGACCCGAAGACATTTTTACACTGTGTGACCCATGTGACCCATGTGACCCGT